CCCACTAGAGCCAACCGCGCACTTCAAAAGGGTGTCGGGGCTGCGCTCCCCTCCGGCGCCCCGGGAACTTCAAAGCGGCCGGAGCTGCCCTGGCGCCTCGCTCCGCTCTGGGCCTCGAGTCCCGGCGCGGCCGCCTGGTGGCCATGACCCCGGCGCTCCGCCCCGCGCTCCGCCAGGCTCTCCTGCTGCTCACTGCGGCCGCTGAGCTCTCGGCAGGTACGGCGGAGGGTTTTCCTCCCGCGCCCATGGTGATGGGAATTGGGGGCGGTCATTGGGTGGGCACAGGGAAGGGAGAAAGCGAGTGCCCCGAGCAAAGTGACCCTCCGCGGGGTAGAGGGGGTCGCGGCAGTCAGATTGAGGGGGCGCGGGATAGGGCGCAGCGTGCGCACCTGACGTCTGGCAGCTGTAGAAGTAGACAGGTGTGTTGGGGACGAAGTCACAAGGAGGGCAAAAAACACACAAACAACAACAACAACAAAAAAAAACGACAGGGACGTGGAGGGTATAAGTAGTAGGAGTGAAGGGGGTGACTAATTTGTGGGCAGTTTGCAGCGGAGAGAGTAGGAGAGCGTTTGTGGGTGCATGCTTGGCTGGGAGCTGGGTGGCCACCATGAGTTCACCCTGCAGGGACCAAGAGGGCTGCAGGTGCGCTTCGGAGACGCTCTGTGCTGAGCCCTTGAGAGCTGCGCAAAGACGGTGGCGTGGTGGTGGGAGGTGGCGATTTAGTCTGAGTTTTAGAAGACGAGGGATACCCCAAAAGCCGCTGGTGCCAGGCCATGGAGGCGGGAGTGGGAGCTTAAATCTGTGTGGTTTGCAACGCACATTGCTTTCGAGGTACGATCTTTACTCAGAGTTCCAGGGCAAAAAGAATTCTGGCAAGCGCCCCAGAGTTTATAACAGGTTTGTGCCTTGATAGGCTAAATAGAGCCCTCAACCCAATCTAGGAACTAAACGTTTCTTTATGATGTTTACTAGAAACTGGGGCAAATGCGTTTTTGATAAAATCATAGTGTGCTATGACTAAAAACCCTTTAACTCTAAAACTGTTTTCATTACATTGTCCTGGATTATGTAGATGTGGAGCAGATTCCTCGCTAACTCATTCTTTAAACACTTCAATCAGACACTAAAGACATTTGCACATAAAAACCTGGTGTTTTTCATACTATGTCCGAAGCTGATTTTGATGCATTTTTTTTTTCCCTGATGACAATCTGTTTGACATTAATAGCTATATTCAGGGTGGGTAGTTTTCCTCTTAGTAACATGTGCAGGAGAATGTTTTGAATAGTATGATTGCTGTCATGTACAGATTTCAGTGTTTCAGATGGCCTGAGATAATCACTAGATATATTCAAGTGCAAATTTGGTTATTGGAAAGGATTAATGGATAAAAATTGAGGATTAAAGCATTCCAGTTATCTTTTAGGAAAGCAGTTACCCCAAGACTGTCAGATAATGGAATAGAGTGAAATATTTGCATTTAGAGTTAATAAATGCATCAATGGGAAGAAAACCAACTGTGGGAAAATCTTTATTTAAAAAAATGTCTGAAAACTCTGCTAACTTGGGACACTGAAAGTACTCTTGACAATTTCATAGAATTTACCAAAAATAAAAGTCTTCCAGATATAACAGTTTTGACTGTTGTCCATAGAAACCTTTTTATTTGGGGGAGCTGAGAACTTGGCTGCAGACATTTTAAAAAACAGATTTATTTTAAAATTTAACTTGAAAGATATATTTAGTTATATGACAGAAGAAAATTTCAGAGACCCTGAGCATACCAATATAAGAAAACATACCTCATTGTGTTCTTGAAAAAACATGGAAACTTTTAAATTGAAATGTGAAAAGAGGAGAAAAATATAGATCATTCAAATTTGATTGTTCTTAAAATCAGAAGTCTAAGAAAAATACATGATATAGAGATATGCCAACATAGTAGAGACATATTTATCAAAGTTCAACTTTTATAACAAACTTTTCTCTCAAGTGCAATCATTTTCATATCTCCTTAAGAAACTTTTACCCCCTTTGTGTCCCGCATTAACAATGTCTATTATTATATACATTATTTATTCCTAGTTTTATACAAATGTTGGGCTATTTAGGATAAAGATTCAAGGTAGTTTTTTCATTTTTTAAAATTGATTTTCTCATGGTTCTCCAACTGTATTTTTGACCTAGTCACTTTTGCAATTTACATTGTTGATCATACTGGCTATTTATGAACATATACTTGCTGTTGGTGAAATGTTACATGTGAATTTCTTGATACGATAGCATGGTCAGCAAAATTCTGTGACAGAGGGCACTATTTTCCAATTAGGCTCTGCTGAGTAGGCTAGGATACTGAGTATCTGAAAGTAGGATAAACTGATAAACCCTTTTTGCTTTGGATGCTCTCTCCAACATCTTTGTCACTTCAGGTCTCTCATGCATTAACAGTAGAGAAGAGACCATTGCTCCTTGTTGGGAATCTCAGCTGGAGAAACTTAGCAAAACTATTTGTTGGTCTGGACTGGATTGAAGGAAGAAATTAGGCTGCTCTGAGTTGCTCTGATTGTCTAGGTGCCTGGATTCCTTGACGTGTGATAACAAAGACCTGTCATGACCTCATAATATTCATCATGATATTCATCATGCATACTAAACAAAGCATTCACAGAAAATGTCTTGAAGTTCTCTACTTTGAAGCAGTGATTTAGATCTACACATTGGGCATTCTCTTTTAAGTTCATGAAACTCCTTTGTCCTGTTGTCTAGAAAGGATTATTGAGAGTCTAGAAAGCTATGTGCCATTACTATAAAAGTAAAAAGACAAATAACTGGGGCGAGAGTGGGAGTTTCAGGTGACGAGATTTTCCCTTCCCCCAAAGCAGCAGTTCCCACTCAGAGTTTTCAGTGGTGCTTCTGGAAGTGAAAGTGAAATCGTGGGGGCTGACTGAGTTTATAAATGCAAAAGATGTTGCTACCTTTGCCCCTCTTTAAGCACAGTCATTTATTGGTTGATTGACACAAATGGGGCAAGAGGTTCCCTGGATTCAAGAAGAGACATCTCTGGTCTAGGAGAAACTGTGCAGAAGCCTTTGGAGCTTATTTCTTCATTGACTGTACTTTGTAAACTTGTTATCTAGATTTCAAATTTATAGAAATATAGAGATTTGCTCTAAGTTGCTAAAATCATACAAAAAGTTAAAAGATTTTGAAGTGTGAAAGGAAGTGAAGAGCTAAGGATGACAGTGAGTTTTTTGACTCAAGCAATGGACTCTTAGGTGAGGCAGACTGCAGAAGCTGGTCTGGTTAGAAGAAGGAGATAGTGACAGATAGCAGGAGCTCAGTTTTGGATATGTTTAGTTTAAATTGCCAAATAGACACTGAAATGGAGATGTCAAATAAGCAAATAATTTTATGGGTCTGGACTTCAGGGGCTGATGATGAAAAACTGAGAGCCAAGGGCATTTACGGATTAATTTTGAAAGGTACAAAATAGGGCTGTAAGTAGGGCTGTAAGATTCAGCTGATAAAGTATAGAATACCCAGTGGGTGTTTCACTGGGTGTTCACATAAATAATGAATACCTTTTTAGTATAAGTGTGTCACAAATATGACATAGAACACATATGTATTAAAAATTAATTGCTGTTTAATTCCACTTTGGGCATTCCGTACTTTTATAAGGCACACCAACATATTAATAAAAGTAATATTGTTGTGAGTTGAAGAGTTCTTGATGCATATATTCCTAGCTCTTTTATTAAAAAGAGAAGCGAAGACTTATTTCTAGTTTTCATCTCCTAACACTTGTTCTAGCTCTGCTACCATCCTCATGTGCATCTCTGATTGGGTGACTCCCAGGTCTTTGTACATGGTGTCCCACAGCTTCTGTGTGAACCAGAGGGGATATCTATCCTTTTCCAATCTTACATGAGTATTTAGACATGAAAGTATATGTGAAAGAGATAAGAATAACTCTCTTGACTCCTTGGAAGTGATTGTTACATGAAAGCAGTTGGGTTTTCCCAAATTTGCTGTCTTCTGAAAATGGTTGTTATTTTCAGATGCATTTTTAGAGTATTTTTCTTTAGAATAAACTTTCGTATATTTCTCTTTTAAGTGAAATGCTTCCAAGCAGTCTAGATCTACTTTGTTGGATTTTTCTTGGCAGTACTTGTGTCCCTTGCTGTAAATAAGAAGGTTTAGGGGAGAGAGATTGGATAGTCAGGATCAGGGAGATCAGTGAGCCCTACAGGGCATATTAATATGACAGTTTGAGGTGGTAGAGCATGTTCTAAAGAGAGTGATGGCATGTCCTTTGGGAAAGGGGAATGAATACATAAACATTATCCAGAGGTTGTTTAGTTTCTGCTCTAGCTTAGTCTTGATCTTCAAGTATGGCAACTACCAAATAATTAGTGTCATCTTCATTTTGGGATTCATAGTGGAAAGTGTCCTATAAATGGACAACTATAGCCATGGATCACTAAGAAGCTCAAATAGGTATGATCATATGTATATAAATAGTTTATTTTAATAAATAATTAAACAAAATAATTAATTTTCAAACATAAGTAGTAAACAGAAAAAAAACAAAGAAAAAATTCCAAGCATGAAGAGCATACTATGTATCATATTTTACCACTTACATCTGTGAGATTTCATCTTGGTTTTCCATTGCTTTGGCCTTCAAGTTCTTAAATTTTTCATAGTCAATAGTCAAAATTTCTCTTTAGATTGTTTACGAAATTGGAATATGTTTAAGAAATTGGAATATGTTCATAAGTGATACAGAAATGACATGTTGGCTAGCAGGACCGAGGAAAACTCAAATACAATATTGGCTCTGCTGAGCCTCATCTTTAGTCAAGAGGGGATATCTAGAAAAAGGGAGCAAAATGAGGCAAACTAGCCTTTTCTGGTTACCTGGAGCTTTGGCCCCAAATTGCATGGCAGAACTCTAATACACTTTTCTAACATTTGAACAACTAATTAGCCTGAGGATAAATACAGGAGAGCTGTGATAAGCCAGAATCCTGGATCCTGACACTATGATACCCTCAAAGGGCCATCTAATGCCAAAATGAAGTCAGAGAGGTTGTGGAACAAGGGACCCATGTTTCCAGTACCTCACATGAGTCCTGCTCTCACAAAAACTCTGATAAAAGTTCCAGGCAATAATTCCAGAGGCTAAGTGAAGAAGAGGTGGCGAGTCT